CGGCCCTGCCCTACGTCGCGGCCCCGCCCTACGTCGCGGCCCCGCCCCTCGAAGCGGCCCTGCCCTACGTCGCGGCCCCGCCCTGCGTCGCGGCCCCGCCCCTCGAAGCGGCCGTGCCCTACGTCGCGGCCCCGCCCCGAACGTCGCGGCCCCGCCCCGACCGTCGCGGCCCCGCCCCTCGTCGCGGCCCCGCCCCTCGTCGCGGCCCCGCCCCTCGTCGCGGCCCCGCCCCTTGTCGCGGCCCCGCCCTCCAACCATGCCCGTGGTGGGCCCCTTTCACCACACCGCCTCCCCCCCCCCCCCCCCCCCCCCCCCTCCCCCTGCCATTTCCCGTCGTCCGTCGAGGCGACCTGAGGGGGCCGCTTGCTGTGGGGTGGCGGGTATGGGGGTGCTCGGTGTGCCTTCCTCCCTTTGCTCCTCCTCCTCCTTCGTCTCCCACTGCTGCAGCTGTCGCTGAGGGGGGTGGTTGTGTGGGAGACTCGGGTTTAGGGTTTAAGGGGGTTGCGTGGGAGTGCAGCTAGCGGTGTAGCAGTGGGTGTGCATCAGGGGGGTGGGACTGTGTGCGGGAGGTTGAGTGGAGGTTGTCAGTTTGTCGTTCGCAGCACCTGTAGTCCGGGGCGCTGTCCCGGTAGCCCAGTCGTAGCCAGCTGTGCCAGCCGCCCGTGGGTCCGTTGCCCGTCCGCCGCTATTTGAGCCGCGGGGCCTGTTACTCCTGTAGTCCGGGCGCTGTCCGGTAGCCGCTGTGCCAGTCTGCCTCCTGTTGCCCGTGTGTCTGCAGCTTCAGCCGTCGCCTCCTGTCTCCTCTCCCCTCACTCTCCCTCCTCCTCCTCCTCACTTGCCCGTTGTGACTACCACTAGCTTTGCTTATAATTGTGAACTCTAAACTATTTCTTCTTGAACTTGTGCTCAGAATGTGTGGTGACATTGTGATCCACCCTGAGCTTGTTTTGCTTTGCCTGCTCTGCTGATTACACCCCACTTTGGCTATGGGGGTGTGTCAGAATATTATTCTTATGTTCTAGCCTGTAGTGGGGTGCTCTATAGCGAGTACAACCCTTCTAGGGTTTGCTATTTGTATCCCCATTTCTGCTAGTTCATTCCCCTTTCCTCCCTTTCTTTCTTCTAACTTTTGTCACTCCACATCCACACTCCTTGCATACGATATGAACCTCTCCTCAAGATCATTTTACCGTATCTCCCATTCCCGCATGAACACTCTCTACTCCCCTATCTGCGTGCGGAGATCCTCATTGCACTTGCACACCCAAGCCCCTTGCAGCTGCAGGAGAGCCATCAGCTTTCATCATCCAAGTCCCGCCTCCCAGCCATGCGAGACCTTACTCACCCCTGATCTCAACCCTCGCACGCTGCCTCTGCTCCTACTGTTGCCGCCACTGCTGCTGCCACTACTGCTGCTGCCGTGACTGCTGCTGCCGTGACTGCTGCTGCGACTGCTGCTGCCATTGATGCTGCTATTGCTGCTGCCACTACTGCTGTCACTACTGCTGCTGCCGCCACTGCTGGCACTGCTGCTACCACTGCTGCTTCCGCCTCTGCTGCCGCTGCTGCCGCCACCACTGCTGCCGCCACTGCTGCTGCCGCCACTGCTGCTGCCGCCACTGCTGCTGCCGCCGCTGCTGCTGACGCCACTGCTGCCACCACTGCTGCCACTGCTGCTGCCACTGTTGCTGCCACTTCTGCCCCCACCAAGATCGCCTCCCTCACTTCTCTCTTGCTCGCCCTTGTCCCCAGCTTCCTCTCACCCCCTCCGCTTCCCCTCCTGCTCCGCCTTGCCTCCCCCTTCCTCGTTTCCCCTGCTCATGACCGCTCCCCCCTACTCGTGACGGCTTTCCCCATGCTCGTTATGGCTCCCCCCTGCTCGTGACGGCTTCCCCCTGCTTGTGACGGCTCCCCCCTGCTCGTGACGGCTTCCCCCTGCTCGTGTCGGCTCCCCCCTGCTCATGACGGCTTCCCCTTCCATAATATGTAATGCCTGGCAGGCAGTTCCTATGCAGCTCCCCACATGCATACAGTGGTCGCTTGCCCAACCAGCCCTGCACCTGCATCTGCCCAACTGCAAGGCACGAGTTCCATGCCTCACTCCTCCGCATGCATGCCTTCCCTCATTCTTCACACCCCTTGCCTCCACGCCTCTCCTCAGTATCCCCAAGACACTCTTGAGAATTCTCAAAAGTGATTTCAGTATCCCCAAGACACTCTTGAGAATTCTCAAAAGTGATTTCAGTATCCCCAAGACACTCTTGATAATTCTCAAAAGTGATTTCAGTATCCCCAAGACACTCTTGATAATTCTCAAAAGTGATTTCAGTATCCCCAAGACACTCTTGATAATTCTCAAAAGTGATTTCAGTATCCCCAAGACACTCTTGAGAATTCTCAAAAGTGATTTCAGTATCCCCAAGACACTCTTGAGAATTCTCAAAAGTGATTTGAGTATCCCCAAGACACTATTGAGAATTCTCAAAAGTGATTTCAGTATCCCCAAGACACTCTTGAGAATTCTCAAAAGTGATTTCAGTATCCCCAAGACACTCTTGAGAATTCTCAAAAGTGATTTCAGTATCCCCAAGGCACTCTTGAGAATTCTCAAAAGTGATTTCAGTATCCCCAAGACACTCCACAAAAACCCTATGCCAAGTTTGGACGAATTTTGATTGGGATTGTCTTCGCGTAAAAAAATCGGGACCGAATTTCGACCGACGGTTTGAGTCATTTGATAGGAGCTCCGACACACATCTCGCGACAAGGCTTGGCTCGGGTCAAGTTCCAATTTGGCACGCGTGCTGTTCCAGCTGACATTCGCGCGCAATCCGTTTAGGGTCAGTTTTGTGACCAAATCATTTAAAAATGGATTTTGTTTTTGTTTTATTCTGGGAATTGAGGATTTCAGAATTACATTCAATATTCGCGGGTTACAGCTTCCATTATTCAGCATTCTAACAACCAGCAGTTTTAACACCCAGTCAAATAGTCTACGCAATGGTGGGCCAGGGCTCTTGCTAGGATCTGAGGACGTCTGATTCATCAGACGGGTCCCCCGGGCATTAGACATGGTTTTGTCTGATCCTGTTTGCCAAATCAGATGAATCCAAAAAAGTGAGTCTGAAAATTAGACCATCAGACCAAATTAGTCTGATAACGAGAGCCCTGTGGTGGGCCCTGCAAGCCCCCGGTAGGCAAGAAAAACATCTCCAAGGTCGCCATCGTCGATGAGGAACTTGTTCGGGAAGACGAACGCACCCTGAGCCGGATCGTGTGGGATGCGTCGCTCCACAACGGCAAAGTGTATCATCTGTTTGACCTTGTCACACCACTCGAAGTAGTCCAGCCTGTTTTGTTCCGGCTGGGCCGGAATACGCTTGCGGCGCTTGTCCTGCAGAAGGGGCCACTCGATCTGCAATGTGGTGTAGGGTTGGGTGGATGGTGTATCAGGGGAGGTTATGGGCATATGATCCAACTGAAAGCAGTGAAGACGTCACACCCTACGTAACCGCAAACGCCTAAGCGACCTGGGTTTTAGATGAAGTACAGGCGAGGGGTTTAGGGGATGAGGCATGGGTGTAGTGTCACTTATCTACCTCCTTACCGAAAACAGGCCCCATGCCACCATGCGGCTCTTGAACTTGGTGAACACGACCCCGCTCCTCTTGAAGGAGAGCTTGAACGCATAAGCAAACAAGGGGTTGCTGAAGGGCGTTCCGGTGGCCTTGTCAAAGTGCCAGTTGAGGGTCCACTGTTCTGCATTTTGGGAGGGAGCATATGGGTTGGAAAGGGGGTGCAGATAGATCAAGTGGGGGGGTGAGAGACAGGGTCAGAGTACCACGGCACGGTTATTTGTAGCTGCTGACTGGCTTATGGGCGGGGGGATATGGTGTGTTTGAGACGCACATACCATCTCTGTACTCGGCCAGGAGCTGCTCGTCGTTGAACCACTTCTCCGGGCGTAGCTCAGTGGGCAGGCTATCCACCGCATTGGCGTAATCGGAGAGACCCATGCCGGCGTACGTTGCTGGCCTGAGGGTGCTGTTGATTGTTGACCTGGTTGATGACATCTGGTGGTTGAAGACACCCATGGTTGACTTGTCGTTGTGCAACCACAGCAACTTCATTGACTCTAGCCCTTCGTGAGACAAGTGGACAGCGAACGCCTCGAACACTTCCTCCGGTGCAGGGTAATACTGAATCTTCTCCGGGGGGTTCAGAAACAGGAGCTGAGAGCACACTAAGTAGGCTTTGCTCTGCGCATGGGTGTGGATTTACAACACGACACGGGGAGAGAGAAACCATCAATTATGACTCTGGCCGCGTGACCAACCCTCCCGCGTCCGCCACGTCAGAGAGGAACCAGCCCCACTTGCCACGTCACATCCACCCACCCCATGCCACGTCACCCCCCACCCACCCTCCTGCATCCGCCAAATCCACCAACGACCCTCCCCACGTGACACGTCACACCCACCCTCCCCATGCCACGTCACCCCCACCCACCTGACACGTGTAGCGTCGTCACGCGCCGCTCCCGTGTACCCTTCCAAGCCGCCACGTCAGCACCAAGCCACACATCCCGCCACGTCACACGCCCTTGCGTCTGCCACGTCAGGGATCAGCCAGCCCCACGTGACACGTCACACCCACCCTCCCCATGCCACGTCACCCCCCACCCACCTGACACGTGTAGCGTCGTCACGCACCGCTCCCGTGTACCCTACCAAGCCGCCACGTCAGCACCAAGCCACACATCCCGCCACGGCACACCCTCCTGCATCCGCCACGTCAGGGAGCAGCCAGCCCCACGTGACACGTCACACCCGCCCACCCCATGCCACGTCACCCCCCACTCACCTGACACGCGTCGCCTCGTTGAGCGCCGCTCCCTTGTGCCCTTCCAAGCCGCCACGTCAGCACCAAGCCACACATCCCGCCACGTCACACGCCCTTGCGTCCGCCACGTCAGGGATCAGCCAGCTCCACGTGCCACGTCATACCCGCCCACCCCATGCCACGTCACCAAGCCACCCACCGCACACGTGTAGCGTCGTCACGCGCCGCTCCCGTGTACCCTTCCAAGCCGCCACGTCAGCACCAAGCCACACATCCCGCCACGGCACACCCTCCTGCATCCGCCACGTCAGGTAGCAGCCAGCCCCACGTGCCACGTCACACCCGCCCACCCCATGCCACGTCACACCCCACCCACCTGACACGCGGCGCCTCGTTGAGCGCCGCTCCCGTGTGCCCTTCCAAGGTGCCACGTCAGCACCAAGCCACACATCCCGCCACGTCACACCCTCTTGCGTCCGCCGTCTAAACCCACCAACCCAACCCACTTGCCACGTCGCACACAGAGATCCGAAAGAGCCACGTCAGCCCCCGCCCACGTGTGGAGTCACGTGTCGCCCTGCACCGCTCCCGCGCACCCTTTCCAACCGCCAGGTCATTCCCAACCCTGCCCTGGTTGCCACGTCAACCCCAACCCGCCACATACCGGGAATGGGTTGGTCTCCTGCAGCACAAGCACACGTGCCTTGTCCACGGCACTCATCGGCGGCGGGGTACCACCCATCGGCACCACTGCGGCCCCCCCGGCATAGCTGGCAGTTGCTCCCCGACGCAGGCCGAGCTGAGCAAACATGGCGTACATCTCAGACCGTAGCTGCTGGAACTCGTCTCGTGTAACAAACTGCCCGTGCTCTGCACCTTCAGCCAGCGCATCCATGACATCCGGAAAAGGGTGTGTAGAAACCCCTCTCTGGCCAAGGGGATCAACGTCTTCTGCAGCAGCACCGTGTGCCCTCACACTATCACGCTGGCGGGATAAGGGAAGCTCAGGGAAGGGATTGGCAAAGGTGCTTGGTTGATGCACACGCGATGGACCGGCGAGGGGGGAGACCGCCCTGCCCCGGGCTGGAGAAGCGTGTAGTGGCCGAAATGGGTATGAGGGAGAGGCGAGTGGGGAGTGCGTGACGGGGGCTGGTGGAGGGGATTCGGATTCCTCGCCTGTTGCCGCGCCGGGTGCAGTCGCAGCGACTTTGCTCGGGCCGGAGTATGGCGTGAAGAACCTTGGTCCTCCTGTGGATAGCGGTGCCACACTCGCTCTTCCGGCCCCTTTCGCTAGCTGCATCCGTTGCACGGTTACCGGTGGCCCAATGCCTGTAACACGGGGGGCTGAGAGTCACACGGAGGATGAGCACGGAGCTGGTGTCTGTAAGGTGCATTTGGACACGTGCAAACATGACGAGCAACCGCATGATTCTAACATGGGTGTAGCACGGAACTGTAGTGTATAGTCACGCCTTACCCAGTTTAGCCGATTCGTCAACCTTCTCCTTCCCTGCGGCGGGAAAAGACGGGTGGAACACGGTGTTGTTAGGGTCTGTTCAGCACAAACCGCGTCAGCTATGCCAGTCGTTTGTGACACGTTGCTTACCACGTTGCTGTCCCTTCGGTTTTGCTGCCTGCTCCTTATCGTTGCCCCCGTTTCCGCGGTGTGCTTTGGCGGGTGCTGCCTCGTTTACGGGCAGGTTCTTTCTTTGCCGAACCCACAGGTACCCCTTTCGCGCGCGGTCCCTTTCCGTCTCCATCGCCTTTAGCTCCCTGTCTCACTTGCTTCCTTCCACCTCGGTCAAGTTCAACCTTCACCCTACGCGCCTTCGATTTGCCCGCTGGTCCGCCACGCATTGCGTCACCCGCCCCGCGTTTCCGGGATTGTCCAGACCGGCCCCCCACCTTCCCTGTGCCACTCCCCCGTCCGCCTCGCGCGCCCCGTCCTTTCCCTGCCGGCTTCTCCTCCTCCTCCTCCTCATCCGCCCCTTCCTCCACCTCCTCTTCCTCCTCGTCGTCCTCCTCCTCATCCTCCTCCTCATCATCCTCCTCCTCCTCTTCCTCCTCCTCCTCCTCCTCCTCTTGCTCCTCCTCCTCCTCCTCCTCCTCCTCCTCCTCCTCCTCCTCCTCCTCCTCCTCCTCCTCCTCCTCCTCCTCATCCTCCTCCTCCTCCTCCTGCTCCTCATCCTCGTCGTCCCCCTCATCGTCCTCCTCATCGTCCTCATCCTCATCCTCCTCCTCCTCCTCCTCCTCCTCCTCCTCCTCATCATCGTCGCCCTCCTGCTCATCCTCGTCCTTTTCTCCCTCCCCTGCATCCTCGTCCTCCTCCTCCGCATCCTCCTCGGCCTCCTCCTCCCCATCCCCCTCGTCCTCAACATCCGCTTCACCAGGGCCTTCTTTGCCGCGCTTCGGCCTATTCCCCCCCGAAGATTGCTTCCCCCTCCGTCCGCTAGATGGTTTCCTCGGACCGGATCCCACCTTATGCCGCATTGCATGATCTGTCGCCAAGCCACTTGGCGCCGTGGTGCCTCGCATTGTCCCAACTTCAGCACCACCGGCGTCGTCACCGCTGGCTGTCGTCTGCCTCCTCTTCGCGCGTATGGGCATGTCCTCAGCCACGGGGGTGTCATTCTCCTCCTCACCATCGCTCTTCCTCTGCCTACGCCTCCCGCGTCCCCCAGAGGGAGGAGATCCACCTACGTCGGCAATGTCGTGTTTCGGCCCCTCCGTGCAATCGTGCGCAGCATCCTTATCCTTATCTATCACTGCAGCAGATATTTCGACCACGGGCGGGGGGGGGGCAGCGTCAGATGCTGCTGCTTTGCCTCTGCCACGGACGTCGAAGTTGCGGCCTGATCTTGGCGGGGAGAGTCGCCGTGCTTTCCTCCAGTTGCAAAGCCCTCTCTGTCCCCCGACCGGACGGCAACACTCACGCCGCCACGCCCAGGGTCTTCGTTCCCGCCGATGGTGCCGTCGTCAGAAGGACCGGGCTCGAGGGCAGCAGTGGCAACATCCGCATCGCTCCTGACGGCCGAAACACGCTTGCGTGCCGTTGGTTGCTTCCCCTTGTCCTCCGCCTTCTTCCCGGGCTTCTGCTTTCCCACCTCAGCCTTTTTCCCCGCCGCACGTTTCGTTTGATTGGTTTGCGCGGCGGCCTTTTTAGTAGCCCTAGATCTGGCCCCACCCGCTTGGTCGGTCTGATGCGACATCCTTCGTGTCGTGCGTCGTTTCGCCTCCTCCTTCTGCTTTTCTGTTTGCCGAGTAGCAGGTGTCATGAAGGTGGTACGAATGCAAGTTTTAAATTGCGGGATTGGGTAGCTGAGTTAAAAAAAAAAAAACGGAAAGGTTTGTTGCTATTTGACCCCGTCCCGGTGAAGCCAATACTTTTTCACCCTAAATCGGAAGGTACAATTACACCTGAATTAGTAGCTACTAAGCACATGGCGTCAGCCCTTTCCTTCGTCGCTACTCCGTCTAACTGGCGATTTGGAAACACCTGTGTTCAGCAGCGAGCGGCGTCAAGGTAGTGGGTATGAGGGTGACGGAAGCTGGTGAGTGGGGCACGACGGTAGTTGGGTGGTTTGCGAGTCTATGGAGAGGACTGTAAGCAGAACACGCACCATCGGACGGTCTACGATTTGCCACCCGATCAGAAACGCACTACACGCTTGATCACAGTCGCTGCTTCCGCGGCGAATGTCCAGCTTGGCTGGTGCGGTAGTGGGGAGGGTCGTTTGAGATGCGTCGGCCAATCAGCGCCAACGCATCAATCTCCACGGAATCTAGTACCGTTTCGACACCACCAATCATCACATCCTGCAAAATACAGTGCCTAGTGCATTGATCAAATTTTAACATAGTAGCTGAATACACTTGCCAAGTACAACTAAGACAATTTGAAGTGAATAGCCGTTTATGGTGTCATATGGTGTGAAGTTTAGTGAGTGCATGGGGCTTAGGACGCACTCTTTGTGCTTCCAACTCGTGGACTATGGAATGCTATACTGAGCACACATTGAGAATGGGCGACGGATACTGGTCGTTGGAAGTTGTTCAAGCACGACGTGTACTAGTGCCAACTGGAATGGAGATGTAGTGTGGTGTTGGCTTGGGCTCCATTCTTGCGTGGGCCCTCGACATGGTGAATTGAGGGTGTGGGATGAAGCACAGGCCCAACGCACGAGCGTTGATGCGCAATCGACATCGCTGTTTAGTTTGGCGACGTTGCTGCGTTCGCATCCATACAAGGCTTGCGCGACCAGGCGAATCCGTTGTGGAATGGTGTTGGATGGGGCTCCATTCTTGCATGGGCCCTCTGCCAGGTGCATTGAGGGTGTGGGATGAAGCACAGGCCCAACGCACGAGCGTTGATGCGCAATCGACATCGCTGTTTAGTTTGGCGACGTTGCTGCGTTCGCATCCATACAATGCTTGCGCGACCAAGCGAATCCGTTGTGGAATGGTGTTGGATGGGGCTCCATTCTTGCATGGGCCCTCCGCCAGGTGCATTGAGAGTGTGGGATGAAGCACAGGCCCAACGCACGAGCGTTGATGCGCAATCGACATCGCTGTTTAGTTTGGCGACGTTGCTGCGTTCGCATCCATACAATGCTTGCGCGACCAGGCGAATCCGTTGTGGAATGGTGTTGGATGGGGCTCCATTCTTGCATGGGCCCTCCGCCAGGTGCATTGAGAGTGTGGGATGAAGCACAGGCCCAACGCACGAGCGTTGATGCGCAATCGACATCGCTGTTTAGTTTGGCGACGGTGTTGCGTTCGCATCCATACAATGCTTGCGCGACCAGGCGAATCCGTTGTGGAATGGTGTTGGATGGGGCTCCATTCTTGCATGGGCCCTCCGCCAGGTGCATTGAGGGTGTGGGATGAAGCACAGGCCCAACGCACGAGCGTTGATGCGCAATCGACATCGCTGTTTAGTTTGGCGACGTTGCTGCGTTCGCATCCATACAATGCTTGCGCGACCAGGCGAATCCGTTGTGGAATGGTGTTGGATGGGGCTCCATTCTTGCATGGGCCCTCCGCCAGGTGCATTGAGAGTGTGGGATGAAGCACAGGCCCAACGCACGAGCGTTGATGCGCAATCGACATCGCTGTTTAGTTTGGCGACGGTGCTGCGTTCGCATCCATACAAGGCTTGCGCGACCAGGCGAATCCGCTGTGGAATGGTGTTGGATGGGGCTCCATTCTTGCATGGGCCCTCCGCCAGGTGCATTAAGAGTGTGGGATGAAGCACAGGCCCAACGCACGAGCGTTGATGCGCAATCGACATCGCTGTTTAGTTTGGCGACGGTGCTGCGTTCGCATCCATACAAGGCTTGCGCGACCAGGCGAATCTGTTGTGGTACGGTGTTGGATTGTCATCTAACCTTGCACGGACATTCAAGTAGGTGCCTCAAAGGGGTATGAAGTAGAGCCATAACGCACAATCGGCGATGCGTTATCGTGAGGGCACGAAGTTCTTGTGTACTTCCCGTATGTTGCCAGACCACACTAGAGATCTTGTATGGTTTTTAGACTGTCACGTTGTCAACTAGGGGTGGATCTCGAGCAGGCATTTTCATGTGACCGTGTAGTAGTTATCATCAACGAGTTTAGTGTATAGATTAAATGCAATTGTACAATGTAATATCCTGCGCTGTATTTTGTCCGTTGTCGAGCTCACCACTGTGAGCTCACTAACGTGAGCGCGATCTCCCCCGTATAACAATTCGCAACTGAACTACAGATCCAAACGGATCTCTTCCCGCTCTTCCTCATCCCACTCGACTCTCACGCACCAAGAGTGCGTGAATCCATAGGCACGTCCTTCTCACCGAGCTCGCAACGCACACACAAGACCTACCGTCTTAGAATCAAGCGCATTCTCCGCTGCTCACGTCGTGGTCTGTCAAAACGGGGGCGACACGCCTTGTAGGGATGACGACCCGCCTTGAACAGTGCGCGGTTTGGCGATGACCGTGTTGCATTACCAGCCTTCTTGCACGGAGTACTTAATGCCTTCTCAAGCTTCCCACGACGCTCGTTGCTTCACAGGCCATTCCTCAACACTTAGACAGATCCGTACCGCATGGGCTCCTTACCTGGCGTCGTCTGCGAGTTTTGCAATAGATGGTTCCCCAACGCCCAAGTTTATGGCGGTCACAAGTCACGGCGGACCCCTTGCCAAGGCCTTTCCGCCGTGGCAAGGCCCTCGCAATCTGCACCATCCGCCGGACTACACGCACTGCTATTCGTGCAAGAGATTCTGTCGGACGCTCCCGCTGCTCCCGCTTCACCTACCGCGTCTAATGCGTCCAACACCGATGCTGTGAATGGTCCTCCTCGCGTGCATGAAGCTGAAGATGACGCAACACCCTCGGCTGGGAACATGGGGGCTTCTGAATCTGAGCATCAACCGCCACCCGGAACACCTGCAGATGACACGAGTGCGGATCCGGGGTGCCGCCCTGGAGTGAGTCACGCGGCCCCGCCAACAATCATGTCCGGGGAGAGCAATGCGACGCCCCTCAATCCGATTGCGTTGAAGCTACTGCACTTCGTGAGGCGTGTAAATGGCGGAATGGGCATGGCGGAGATCGACATCAATGGCCTGCTTCAGCTCGTGGTGGAGCCCGGCCTTGCGCCTCTTTGTCAGACATATATTCATATATGTTAGTATTGTTGTTAGGCTGTAGTGGGGTTCACTTTAGAGGGTTTGTTTCCTTAGGTTTTGTACCCTCGACATTTTCCCTTAGTCAACTTTTTCACTCTAAACTTTCACATGGTATAGAGCTAGGAAGTTTCCTAGGGCCCACCAACTCGATTTAACTCGATTTTTTTTTTCTTAGGGGGAACGCACCTACCCGAATCGCGCCTCGTGTGTCCTCTCCACCGTCGCGCCCTCTTTCGGCCCCCTAACTTGCCCGTCGCGGCCCCTTAAAATAGCCGTCGCGGCCCCTTAGAAGCCCGTCGCGGCCCCCCTAGAAGCCCGTCGCGGACCCTTTCCTGGTCCGTCGCGGCTCCTTTCTGGCCCGTCGCGGCCCCTTCCAGGCCCGTCGCGGCCCTTGTCGCCTCAGTTGTGGCCCTCCCCCTAGCCTACAGCAGCTGCCGCCGCTGGTTCTGCAGCAGCCGCCACTGCTGGGCCTGCTGCAGCAGCCGCCACTGCTGGGCCTGCAGTAGCTGCCGCCACTGGTTCTGCAGCAGCCGCCGCTGCTGCAGCCTGCAGCAGCTTCCGCCGCCCGCTCTCCTGCAGCTGCAGCCACCGGCTCTCCTGCACCTGCCGCCGCCGGCCTTTCTGCAGCTGCCGTCACTGGCCTGCAGCAGCTACCGCCACCGGGCCTGCCGCCGCTGCCGCCCCTGTACCTGCTGCACCTACAGCAGCCTACCCTGCAGCTGCTGCCCCCTGTGCAGCCGCCCCAGGTGCAGCCGCCCATCTGCAGCTGCCGCCCCCTGTGCAGCCGCCCCAGGTGCAGCCGCCCGTCTGCAGCTGCCGCCCCCGGTGCAGCCGCCCATCTGCAGCTGCCGCCCCTGGTGCAGCCGCCCATCTGCAGCTGCCGCCCCTGGTGCAGCCGCCCATCTGCAGCTGCCCCCGCCCCCCCCTGGTGCAGCCGCCCCTCTGCAGCTGCCGCCCCTTGTGCAGCTGCCCATCTGCAGCTGCCCCCCCCCTGGTGCAGCCGCCCCTCTGCAGCTGCCCCACCCGTGTGCAGCCGCCCATCTGCAGCTGCCGCCCCTGGTGCAGCCGCCCATCTGCAGCTGTCGCCCCTGGTGCAGCTGCCCATCTGCAGCTGCCCCCCCCCCCCCTGGTGCAGCCGCCCCTCTGCAGCTGCCCCACCCGTGTGCAGCCGCCCATCTGCAGCTGCCGCCCCTGGTGCAGCCGCCCATCTACAGCTGCCACCCCTGGTGCAGCCGCCCATCTGCAGCTGCCGCCCCTGGTGCAGCCGCCCATCTGCAGCTGCCCCCCCCCCCCCCCTGGTGCAGCCGCCCCTCTGCAGCTGCCCCCCCCCCCCCCCCCCCCCTTGTGCAGCTGCCGCCCCTGGTGCAGCCGCCCATCTGCAGCTGCCCCCCCCCCCCCCCCCCCCCCCTGGTGCAGCCGCCCCTCTGCAGCTGCCCCCCCCCCCCCCCCCCCTTGTGCAGCTGCCGCCCCTGGTGCAGCCGCCCATCTGCAGCTGCCCCCCCCCTGTGCAGCCGCCCCAGGTGCAGCCGCCCATCT